TCGTTTAGATATGCTCAAACAGTACTGGACCAAGTTTCTTTGACTTCATGACGAACTACGCACGCATGATCCTACGCACACTGTTGCGGTGACTGTTCAAGTATTTCTCCCTGCACTTTCGTTTCCTACATTTTCCAATGAAGAGTGGGAATCTTTTAAAGAACGCTTTACTTCGCTTGTTCATAATAAAACTAATCTTTCGAATGTCGCGAAACTATCACACTTGCTAGCCTCAGTGCAGGGAAAAGCTGCGCACAAGTTAAAAGAATTAGAGGTGACAGACGCGAATTATACTATTGCTTGGGAAAAACTTACTCGTCGGTACGACATTATAAGACTCAGGCATTTTAATAATATGGAAAAGTTAATTCAGCTGCCAAATGTTCGCGCACGAATCTCGCAAGACCTGAACGATCTCTTAGGATAAGGTCGAGAAAACAGTGAAGACTTTGACTGGTTTAGAGGGTGAAGTCGCTCAGGCTGATTCTTTCATTGCACACTCTATCATTTGAAAGTTGGATCCAATTTCTCGAGAAACCTGGGAGGTTTACCAAGAAGAAAAACCAGGTTTTTCATCGTATGAAGACTAAATTCCTTGAACGTAGGATTCAAAGCTTGGAGCCATTGCATACAACGTCAGAAAAACCTGACGCTCGTTCAGGTAACTAGTTGGGCAGTAAAAGACTCACCGCAGCCAATTCAGTTCAAACCGTTGATTCTACAACTAATAAAATAACCCCGGGTTGCCTTTTGTGCAATAGTACTCATTTGCTCTTCAGGTGTAAAAAATTCAAAGATATGTTGCTTCAACAAAAGCTACAATACTTTAAAAAGGAGAAACTCTGCTTAAACTGTCTTTAAGTTTTTCAATTTGCTGACAAATGCCCTTCAACCAACACGCTGCTTTACCCAGAAGACTCAGGCTCCAACTTCACAAAATTCGGTTCTTTATCAAAACCAGCGACTGGTTGCACGCTTAAAGTAGAGCAAACTGATTCAACACAGCATGCTACGATTTCGTGCTCTGCTACGACCTCTTCAAGCGTAGCTCAATCAACGGCTGTGGAGACGGTAGTTTTGCTAGCTACTGCTCAAGTGACGCTGGCCGACCTCAAGGGAAATTCAATTCCCGTTCGTGCCTTAATCGATCCTGGATCCCAGCGATCGTTCATTTCAAAAATAACTCCGAGTCCGATAATCCTTCCTGGAGGCTGTCTTCTCACCAAAAGACTGATTCAAGAGATTCATCGTCTAACCATTCACGCAGGACCTCAACTGATGCAATATGTTCTTCACTCGGCGTTTTGGATCACTTGATGCACAACAGTCATCACCGCAGTATTCTAACAGTGCGTTCCCTGCACATGACACATTGCGAAGGGTACAATTCAACAAATGGGTTAACTTCCGGCGTGTCGTCTTAACCCAACTCGACCATTCACAGTAACCGGACTTAACTACGCCGGTCCTTTTTCGATTTCGTTCTCCAAAGGCCGTGGTGCAAAGACTACTAAAGGTTATGTCCTTTTCTTCATTTGTATGGCAGTCAAAGCCATACACAACGAGGTGGTATCAGATCTGACAGTTGACGCCTTTTTTACAGCCTTTAGTTGCTTGTACGCATGCAGAGGTACTCGCTCTACTCTGATTTTAGACAATGCCTTAACTTTCAAGGGAGCTGCCACAGAACTCGACAAGCTGTTCAAAGTGTCGTCGTCATTCGTTGAGAGCTGCCAAGTTCAGCTGATAATGAGAGGGATTAAATGGACGTTCATACCATTAAAAGCACCAAATTTTGGCGTTTTCTGGGAATCAGCCGTCAAATCCTTTAAGCACCACTTTAATAGGATGATTGGTAAATTAACGCTGACCTTTGAAGAAATGTAGACCTTATACACCAAGATCGAGGCGCGCTTAAGCTCACGGCCACTCAGTCTACTCAGCTCCGACGCTATCTCAGCAGTCGCGTTGACTCCTGCGCATTTCTATTTGGCACATCGTTATTGGCTTATCCCAAACTCTTCTCCGAGAACTCTGCTTCTTCAGGCAATATGAACCAATGGAGATTATCAATATTTTTCAACGTTTGATGGCTACTTACGAATCTTCGAAACTCCCTCTGAGCTAGGTGGAGAAAAGAGGTGCTACACCACATGCAGCTCCGTAAAAAGTGGCAGAAGCCTCTGCCCAACTTGCTGGTTGGTGACATTGTGTTTCTTAAGGAACACAATACTTTGCCTAATCGTTGGCCCCTAGAGATAATCATCGAGACACATTCAGGAAATGATGGCTTAATCTGGGTGGTCACAGTACGAACAGCCACATTGAAATTCAAGCGGTCTGTTGCCAGATTGGTGAAGCTCCCAACAAAGTCGGAGCTGCAAAGTTGTTATCAGGAATATTCTGAAGACTAGTGACTATCCGCAGTAAAAATAACAAGTTACTATTTCTATAAATTCTAAGTTTTTGATAAAATCTGTTTCTTTGAATTTATACGAATTTCCTTTACTAGCTTTTTTTTTTTAAATACTTTTATATCTCATGTATTAAACGTTCCTTTTATTTTTGTTACACTTCACATCCGACTGATTGTAAAGTTCATTGGTTTTTTGCACCGCCTTGTAAGAACAAAAACGTCCATTAATTTTTTCAGATCCTTCGGATAGAGCAGTCAAGTAGGAGCGATTTTTTTTCGAAGAAACATGCTCTTGATATACCAGCACTCTACTATAACCTATGGGGCTGCAATTTGGGCTAAAATACTTTATTAGTATGTACTTTTGAGTGGTACATTTAAAATAAAGTTCCAGGCTGGGGCAGATTTGACAATCTCAACCCGCTATAGCCTTTTTGTTGAAATTCGCTGAACAGGTATAAAAAATATTTTACGAGTATTTCACGAGTATTCTTTATAATTAACATATAAAATTAGTACTCACGGTTTTTTGTATTAATCAAAAGCGGTAGCTTAATTTTATCTTCTATCATTTCAAGAATCTATACTCATGAATAGATTCCATTTTTGTCAAAAAAATTACGTGAATCTTTTTTCTATTTTCTGCTCACTGTGTGGCGTGTTTCAAAATGCTGAGAATCTATTAGCATAATTGTAGTGGTTATCAAAGTAAAAGTTCTTTTGACTCGTTGTACGTAAAGAGTTGACTCGTACAATGAGTGAGTGAGCGAACGCAGAAATACACTATAAAACACATCTTCCTTCCGTTGAATTTTGTGTGGAATATCGTATACAATGAATACATATACAATCGCATACATAAATAAAAAAAAATTATGTTGAAATTATCTTAACATATTACAAGCTTCTAATACTAAATTATAAATTTTCTATTTACTTAATAAGAAAAAGGTTTGTACAATCTTTTTATGGTTTATTAGGGCTCCTTATGATGTCTTATAAACATAATTATGTTAATGGAATGAATTGTCCATGGTTTCTATCGTTTAATGACTAAGTAACACTTGAAATAATACATGTAGTCTTATCATTATGTGAATATTTATGTAACACATAAGTTTCACAATAGTATCAAAGAAAAAGATAAATGGACCAAGTACTTAATACAAACTAATGATATAAAAAATTATATTAAAATAACAATTTAAATATATAGTATTAAAAAACAATTGAAAAACTAAAGAACTACATATGAAGATTATTTATTTTATTAGTATGCTAGTATGTATTAAGCCTACCTACTTGCCTCCTAAGCAGTGTAAAAAAATAGATGAAAAAATTTGTTTATATTAGGGTTTATTAATATTCTAAGTATATTTTTAATAAATCATGTACAATTTACATGCATACAAGATATACATTGTAAACAATATATATAATCAGTTCTTACTATTTGAAGATAAGAGTGATAAGGTAACGTAAATAAATTTATGTTTTGTAAGTAAAGCTGGGCGTAATCCTGGGGTAGTATCCCGGCAGATCAGCATAAATTATTTTATTATTAGTTTCTTTGACGTAGGGCTTTGTTTATAAAATTTGTAAAAATCACATATATTTATCCGTAGAATGTCAAGAAAATTATGAATTTTTAAAGATTTTTTGTGCGCTTAGTTTTTTAGCAATAATGCAATGAAAGACAGCTTTTAACATAGGGAAAATTGGACTTATCATTAAAAATCGTACCTACGTAATGTCCTAAAAACGGCATTTACCATTTTTCGTGTATCTTTTGACATATTATTGTAAGGTTGAAAAAAAGTATCATGTCTTTCCACTTAATAAGTTTCAAAGTTTTTTAACTTTTATATTGGGATTTTATATTTTGTACACTAACTTTTAAGGCATGTGAAAACGATAAACTATTAAAAAGGTGTACTTTTCAACCAATTTGTGTTAATTAGACACTTGAGAATAATTCACTTTCCAAGAACATGGAAGAATTTCTTTTTTAGAGTTAACTAGTGCATCTAAGCAGTACCCTTGAACTTTTTGCAATTGGGAATTCTTTGAGTAAAATGAGCAAAGATATTTGCATTTGGATTTTCCGTGATAGTTGCATCCTCGTCAGAACAAAGGAACCATCTCCAACTGCACAAATACAGAAGGATTAGTCAATATTCTAACATAACCTTGCAGTTTTTGTTTATTTTGCCATGTAAAAGAAAAATTTTGAAACGGCTACGGTATCGACGATATCAATATAAAAATGTGAAAATTATTTTATCACGACATAATCCCTAAAAACCAGACAGCACATACACCTCAATCAAAAATCAAAAAAAAGCCAAAAAAGACAATTTTTACAAAACTTTATTTTCATATGATTAAATTTAGCAATAAACGATTATTAAGTTTAACTTTTTTGATAGTTTCTGTAACCCACACCTTAGTTTTTTTAAAAATATTATTATAATAGTAGGACTGATTTTCAACATTGGTGCTAATGCACCAGTCGTTTAAATTTGTTTATAGCAAGCATATTTTGTTTACTTAAACACTAAAATAATTTTTATCATTCTTTCAGAATGTTACTCTACGACGGCTAATAAAAAGTTTTCGCAAATGCGGTTTAAAAGCTAAAATCAGTACGATAATAATATATCATTCATAATGCTGACAATAAAATGGTCAAGTAAGTCCAGTAAGTAAACTTTTGTAATTTAAAATATTTTTAAGGATTTCAGCTGACTTATAATAATATGTGCTGTTTTCTTCGTGCAAAATCATGAAAGTACCTGAATTATCCGTCAACTTATTACTTATTACAAAAGAAGTATCGATTGGAGTGTCATAAACTGACTTCGATGAAATTTCTGTATGATGTAGAGTTTAAAGCAATATTATTAATTTGTTTTTTTTTATCGACCTATATGCAGCTTTAAAGGGTGAGAACTAACCCTAAATTTTACTCTTCATTAACTGTTTTTCATAATTATTTTTGCTTGAGCTTTATATCTTCTTTAAAACAAAGTAAGGATTATTTCTCGTGCAAAAAAAAATTTACTAAAATTGTAAGCAGTAAGGGTTGCATACCCTATTTTTTAGGATATAATAAAAAATTTTATCACTAAAAAAAGTTTTTTTTTTACGAAATTAAATACCTAAGTTAACGTGTTCCAGGGTTTTTACAAACTTTGACCTTGACAAAGATTAATCACTACATACAAAAAAAAAATCAATACGTACATGTTTTAAAATATCCAATTTCTTGGAAAATTTGTACAAAGAGGTTTTAGAGGTTGCTGATTTCAAATACGTCACAAGGTTTTATAAATTAAGAATAGTGGCATTATAAACGTGAAAAAAAGAGGTTGATATAATTTGAAATTTAATTGGACAAAAAAAGTTAAAAAAGTTAAAAATATTGAATAACTCTCTTTAATTTCACAGGCCCCCCTAAAAAATATTTTACGAGTATTTCACGAGTATTCTTTATAATTAACATATAAAATTAGTACTCACGGTTTTTTGTATTAATCAAAAGCGGTAGCTTAATTTTATCTTCNCCCCCCCCCAAAAAATTTGTCTATACTTTCGACCAGACCAACTTTTTTTCATGTATTTTTTGACGTGGAATCCAGATCTGCAATAAAAACTTAGCATTTGCAAACGAATTTTGGATTAACTGCAGAAAAACGTGGAAAAACGGAAATTAAATAGTGTGAAGAAAGACAGGTTTAATTTGACGCAAAAAAGTGAAATTAAGATGTAGTAAAGAAAGATACGATCGATTCGACTTGAGAATTCAATTCTACGGATAAAAATACATGAAAAACCACGGTGCGAATAATTTTTTCACGAAATTTAAACTCTCCATGCGGCTGTGGAAAGGCTAACAGATGAAAAAAAGGTAAAATTTATTCTTAAATCGATTAAACATGATTAAAATTTAATTCTTTAACTTAAAAATAGTTCATAGCCATTGACAATACTACCTCGGTGGTATTCAAGGCTGCTGATAGTGAGTTTTAGGTCAGATTTCTAAAACACGGCTCCCGACGTACTTTAAACCCTTAAAAAAATTTTTTCATTCAATTGATGTTAGGGAAATAGGTTGTAGTAAGTACAATAGACAATTAAAAAAATTTACTAACAAAAAGAGAGTTGAAAAATGTCAAATCCTGTGAATCAGGAAATAGTATTAAAGGTTATTCGCTGTGAGCATGAAGCCCATCTGCTTCTGTTGCTTGCAATATATATTTTTCCGTAGTTTCACGTTGTGTGCAGAAGCAAGCATGCCATGATTTTCTACTATATCGTATCTGCCCTTGTCAGGCCACTTTGCTTATGATTGTTGTTTGAAACAGGAATTGGTACGCTCACGTTGCTGAAAAATGCCACTTAGGTGCTGATGAGCATGAAGACCATCAGCGCCTAAGTAGCGTTTTTTTTTGGCAACGTGAGCGTGAAGAGTCGTGTGATAGCTTTACTACGGGGTTGAGTTCTCTACATGTGGAGGACCATTTTACAAACCGGATGAGCGAGCTGACAAACAAAAATTTTTTTAAGGGTTTAAAGTACGTCGGGAGCCGTGTTTTAGAAATCTGACCTAAAACTCACTATCAGTAGCCTTGAATACCACCGAGGTAGTATTGTCAATGGCTATGAACTATTTTTAAGTTAAAGAATTAAATTTTAATCATGTTTAATCGATTTAAGAATAAATTTTACCTTTTTTTTATCTGTTAGCCTTTCCACAGCTGCATGGAGAGTTTAAATTTCGTGAAAAAATTATTCGCACCGTGGTTTTTCATGTATTTTTATCCGTAGAATTGAATTCTCAAGTCGAATCGATCGTATCTTTCTTTACTACATCTTAATTTCACTTTTTCTGCGTCAAATTAATTCTATCTTTCTTCACACCATCTAAATTGCGTTTTTCCGCGTTTTTCTGCAGTTACTCCAAAATCCACTGGGAAAGGCTATGTTTTTATTGCTGATTTGGATTCAGCGCCAAAAAATACATGTGCGAATAGACACTGCAAAAAACTTATAAGTCATTTGTTATATTTTTAAATTGTCACCAATATCTGTAACTTTTATACTATTAAAAACTACCACAAATTTTCAAAAAATCATCAATGTCCGTTGCTTACTTCCAGAGACATTGATAATTTGGATGCTGCCGTCGTTTCTAACTTGTTCGCTCGAAAAAGTCTGTGGACCCATTGCGAAAAGAGGGCATGGACGCCTAACTCGCCCACCACCTGGCCCAGTATGCAAGGCGTAAGGGTACACTTTTTTGCAATCAATCTTGACAAACTTGCAATGACTCTTGACAAATAGAAGCGCTTTTTAAAAATTGGGCTATGTTAGGCCATAATTTGTTATGGCTTTTTGTGGGAAGGACCTTTTTTCTTTTTTTTAGCAGTTCAGAAAAAGTCAACAACCAATTCTGCTATAATTTAGTGAGCATTTTAAGAGCCACAATATTCATACTATATTTAAATTTAAGCTCCTAATGTTAACTAAACCGTAATTTATACATTTTTCAAGAAATTGCCAAAATATTTTTTAGCAATTGACGAAAAAACCGCTCAACTTATTTGAATTTAATGCAGCTCATTACGTTCGTTTTGCAATCGCTTGTTTGAAATTGTCTTCTAGATGCAGAAAACCTGGTTTAGCGAATTTTACCATGTTTTGGGGCCTTAACTGAACTTTTTAGGTGTTTAAAAGTAGTACAATCTATTACAAATACAAAAAAACTTGCGATATATTGATAAATGACACCCCGTTTTTTGATCAATTTTATACACTATTACACTTATTCTATTATACTAGCTTAGGCACTCTCACAGGTTGACTTGATTCACCTACTGGTTGAATTCAATACTGTTTTACCAATATCAATACTACTTAAAAGTCAAGTATTACTTAGTTTGATTTTGTTAATGTACGAGTCTGAGATGATATAATACTACAAGTGTTACATAAAAGTAAGCTGCACCAAAAAATAAAACAAAACTTTTTTAGATTTAAATTTCAGAACTTTGTAAGTCTTATGATTCATAAATACAATTCATTAATACATTATAAAGTTTACAGAAATTTCTGTAAAAAAATCGATTAAATACATGAAATTTCCTGAATCTTTTATCGTTGTTTAATTTTCTAGTGATTTTACATTTTTTTTATCACTCTCTCGTTGAATTTGTACATATGTATACTATATTTATTTCAGCATCTAGATAAATATACGCATAACTGATCCTGAGAAAATAACAGTTTCTTATAATAAAAACCAATGTTGTCGAAACTTTGTCCATAAGCTCTCTTAATAGTCGTTAAAAATTCTGAAGGAAATTAATTTATGTACAGTATAGATCGTAATGATATGAAAAGTATTCTTAGTATTCAAAGTAATTTTAAGCATAAAATTTCCACGTCCAGTTTTCTCCCTTTTTATTATTTAAGCTTCAATAAATTAGTTAACTATAGCCTTGTACCATTGCACAAAACACATGATATACTTAAGTTTCTGATTTGCATAAGTTTTGCTCTTATTTTTTAATGAAGTTGATAGGGACTGAGATCTTCGCGAATAGAATTAAAAAATTTAATTAAAAAATTGACATACATGGTATTTTTAGACTCATAAAGTGTCGCATGATATATGCTGTAATACGTTCTCATGTTTTCACTCACTGGATTTGAAATTTTGTTACTAATAAATAAGTACGCACAATACGTTCCACTATTTTTGCGCAAATATCCTTTGTTTTCCAATTTTCTTAGAAATTGAACGTTTTTATTATTACACCTGCGATGTGTAATGATAATTCAAAGAATTATATGTTATTCGAGCGAATATTGACATTAAAAATACGGAAATATGTCCAAAAAATGGTAATTTTATGGTTGCTTTGATAATCATCCTCTTACTACTTTCTTTCTTTTTAATAAAGAGAATTAGAAAAAAATTTTCCCTTTAATTTAATAGTTTATTATTAAAGAAAATTTATTAATTATATTTATTAACATTAAATTGTTAAGTATAAAAATAAAACCAACGAAATAGCTATTAAACAGTTTTGTGGTGATCACGCTCCGATTACTACTTTTTAAAATGGAGAGTATTCAATAAAAATCTCTCCCTGTAACTATCAATTTGTTTCTAAGAAATACATAAATCACATAGATCTTGTCTTATATATCCAAAGCTATTTTCAGCATCCTAGAGACGTCAACCCGTATAAATAAATAGTTTTTTTTTCTGATAATGATTTTTAAAAAAATCCGTTTTACTACTGCTGCAATCTATAAAAAGATAAAAAGTTTTATGGTTGGTCATATCTTTTGGAGCTAAAACAAATGCAATGTGAGACAAAACCATGGATAAAATCTTTTTTTAATATCTACAACTAAAAAGGTAGCATAATGGCACTAACCTCTTTAAAAACATTATCACATTAAGAATCAATTTCTACTTAACCCATCAGGATTGCAGTCTCATTTAATGCTCCATTATTGATATTATTTTACGCCCCTAAACTTTCAAATAATGTTGCTCCTTATACGTTGTCTAATAGATTTCAAATAAAATGCTCAGAAGTTGTGAAAAAAATACAATATTTATTTTCTTTATTGCAGTAGTTTTCTGCAAAATTTGTCTTTTTCTTTGAATGTTAAGGTTGTTGT